ACCAAAGTATAGTACAACAACCATTGATAGTAATCTACCTCTTTTGTCTGTAACTCACTATTATTTGTCTATTTGTTTTCCTGAGAAACTATCTTGTAGATAACAATATGTAAAACAATAACCATTGATAATTTCCTACCACTTTGTCTGTAATTTGGTAAGCACCCCCATAACTATGTTATCCTTCTTTTACTCTTTAAAATAAAAAAAAAAGAAACCTCTGAGTACAGCATCCTAGAAGATGAAGCTTTAATCTTAACTTCAGGTGATGAGTTGTCCCTCTGTATTCTACAATGATATAATTAAAAACAGTAATAGGTTGTGAGGAAAAGTACTCTAGACTAGTGGTCAGGAAATCTGGACTCTAACCCAACGTAGTAAACTTGCTCTGTAGTCCTCGGGTGAATCAGTTCCCATCTTTGGATTTCAGTTTCCTCAACAAAAAGAATGTTGGACCAGATAATTCAGTTCTTTCAAGTTTATGATTTTATGAATAACATACAGGAAGTTAAAATGTTTACAGTTCATAACCACTCACACTTTTCTTCCAGTATTCCCACAGTCCTGTCACAGATGTTTAGTGACCTTACAAAAAGTAGGAGATATTAGATATGGACATACCTTCTTAGAAAAAAAAATACCACTTCAAACAGCAAAATTTCCTGGTCTTTATTATTGGACTGTGTTTACTATAATTTTATGAAAACCTCTCCACATTTTTGTTAACTGAAAAATACTAATATGAACTATGAAAAGTTAGATACTTGCAATAAATTACTAGATTCATTACAAAAGTATCCCTCTTATAAAAAGATTATTTTAGGACTCTTAGTTTTTATATTTATGATTTCCTACAAATATTTTTCTTAGTTTTTATATGAATTTCTACAAATATTTTTCCTTTTTATATGCAAGAAAAATGAAGATTTCCTTATCCGGCTACTAAATAACTTAACAATTACTATTTCACAGAAGATTTACAACCTCACATCTTTATTTATTTTTATTTTTATTTTATTTGGTACCAGGAATCAAACTCAGGACCTTGTGCTTGCCAGGTAGGTGCTTGTGCCACAGAGCTATATCCTAAGCTATATCCACTGAGCTCTCACCTCTTTAGATAATACTACTGTCTTACTCTGTTTTGCATTCTAATTCATTCATTATGTTTGTGCAAGTGTTACCATGTAAGGGGCAGGTATAGTGCAGGCTCGCATATAATGCACAAAGAACTGTCCAGTGTACAGCCAGTAGCATGTGACAAGCAGCTACATTCACTGAAGATCAGGGCAGTTGTGCTCAGGGTAAGTCTGTGTCCACAAAAGATATGGCACAGACAGAAAAATGGTTCTGGGATCACAGAGAAGCAAAGCACCGCATGTGGGTCAGGGTCATAGCACACAGAAGTAGCAAGAGCAACTCCCAATAAATTAGCCTTTTTTTAATTTAAAGGATATGCACCTCAGCTCCAGTGCCTCCCCCTGAATCTCTCTTGACAAGAATGATTGACAGGGAACTATGCCATCTCGGGGGCTTTCACCATGCACACTTGTCCCAGAACACTCTGGTCTTAATGATGTTCATGATATGTAGTGTATACTTATGAACCCTTAGTGAGGTAGGAGTAGGGAAAGGGTGACTCAAGGGTCAACCTAGGAGACTGAACAAGCCTGTGCTCTCACCTACAGCTTCAAAGATCTCCCAAGTTTTTGTTACTTTATTTTCTGCCTCCCCTAGAACAATGGAAGGAGGAGTGGCTGTAGGGTTCTGTTTAAAATTAAATGGATGGGGCCTGGCATGGTGGCACAGGCCTGTAATCCCAGCACTCGGGAGGCTGGGTAGGAGGATCGTTGTGAGTTTGAGACCAGCTTGGGCTACAAAGTGAGCTCCAGGCCAGCATGAACTGCATAGCAAGACCCCGTCTCAAAAAGACAAAAAAAGAAAATAAAAATAAAAATACAATGAAATGGATGGAAGAGAGTAACCTCCTCAAATCCATTGTTTCAGACTGTACTACAAGGGTAAGAAAAAAGCTGTTATGCTAAGAAGGAACAATCTAGTGTTGTTATAATAATACTAATTATAATAATAATACTGAAAGCACTAATAATACTAATTACAATAATACTAATTTAATACTAATTTTAAAGTATCTTTTTTTGTTATTGTTGGTTTTTTTTTTTTTTTTTTTTTTTTTTTTTTTGTTTTTTTCCGTTACCAGGAATTGATCTCACAACTCTGTGCTCGCCAGGCAGGCGCTGTGCCGCTGAGCTAAATCCCCAGCCCTGTCTTTTTTTATCTATTTATCTTTTTAAATTTTTTTTAAATTTTTATTTATTGTGGTCTTTTAGTCCAATCCTCATTGTAGACATTACGAAAAGGAAGACTGGTCCCATTGTATGAAATTGCAGGCAATTTTCACAGAGTGATTTTCCTTACTACCAAACTCAGATTAGACTGAAATATAAAGCTTCTTAAAATTTAACTACCTACATCTTTTTTGACAACTTTATTTATAATTGCACACAAAAAACTATACATGATTTAAGTGTACAATTTGAAAAGTTTTGACATATATACATCAATGAAACCATGACTTATAAACATGAAAATGAACATATCCATCACACCCAAAGCTAGCTTTCTCTCAACCAACCTTTCTTACTTCACCTCCTTTGTCCTTGAGTCTATTCTTCAATATGGGGAGACATGAACTTGGCACACCTGACTTCTAACAGGTTGGGGGTTACTTCACCGTGACTATAGGGCCTTGTTGAACTTAATTAGATATTTTTTGGACTTTACTAACTGCTTATACATCATTTTTAAGTCCTTTGTCTTTTCATTGTTCACATACTTACTAAATATTCAAAGTCTGGACTACTGTTAGTTGGGCACTACACTGGTTGTCAGGGAAACACTGGTGCACAGGCTGATGAAGTCTTACCCTCTTACGGAGGCAGTTTAAAATAGGTTAAAAGCACAGGCTTAGGGATCAGTAGATTTGGGTTTCAGTGTGGCTGTGCTCCTTACTTGACCTTGAAAAAAACTGATTTTTCTAAGCCTGTTTCTTCACTGGTAAAATGATGTTATTAATACCTGCCTCACAAAGTTACTGGGAAGATTAAATTAATATTTTAAAGTCCTTAGTACAGGGCTTGGCACATAATAGTAAATGGTTAATAAATATGATTTGTAATTAGAAGTCAGGATTAATTCTTCACCTAGTAAACCCACAAATTACTCTGGACCGCTAAGTTAGATGGAAATTAATATACAGTCAGAGAAGGAAGGGGCTCTCAAGAAAGTCAGGAAAAAATAAAGACAACAGAACTGTGGCTGGAGGTGCATCTGAAGAAGACCAGGCCTTCAAGAGAGAGAGATGCAGCGGCCAGGCCTACGCTGCCTCCCTAAGGGAGAAGCAGTAACTTGAGATTATACTGTAATTAGCACCACTTGTTCCAAAAGTCCAGATAAGCACCAGTCACCCAGGAGGGTGGCCAGAGCATCGGAATCATCCCTTCCCGAAAATGCCTTTATTCTTTCACATACCCTCGCTACATGTCCCTATTGGATCAATATTAGCTAAACCGCTGTACTTGTAATCCTATATGTTGATTGCAGTTTGATCCACATTGTACCCCCATGGTGACTTTATTGTATAAATTAGCCCTGACAAAGAGCCTAAATGACCATCCTACGTGGGACCCCTCCTGAGAGTCTAGGAGCTCATCTTCTCTCCTTGTTTTTAATAAAACTCTGCTAACTTATTCCTTTGGTTTGCGGCTTCATTCCTCGATGTTGTGGGATCACGAACTCAGCACATTTGACATCTAGTTATATTTTTCCTATATAAAAATGACTGGTAAGAGATGGCTATGGGTGTCCAAACATTAAGAAGTTTAGTTTAGCAATTTAGTTTAGCTGCTAAGAACGGAGACAATAGTGTCAGCCTGACCTTGGTTTAACTCTTTGCTCTTCTGTTCTGTGGCTGTGTAACTGAGCAAACTACTTAAATAAGAGCAATGCCTACAAAATGCCTTAGTGCAGTACCTGGAACACGACAGATGCTTAACAGCAAGTATTGACTAAGACGTCCTGAAAAGCAATAAAGCTGCCAACATGTGTTCGTATAATAATAACTGCAGCTATCATTTATGCAAGCTTATCATTTGGGACCCAGTGCTAGCCACTGTCCAAATTCTCTTTTATACTGAGCAACCCAGCTAGGTAACCATAGTCCACCCATCCCATTTCATGATAAACAGGATAACCTTTGCATCGCTGTCTATGATCAAAGTGAGGCTGGAGGCTTAAGTGGTGGCTTAGAATCCAGCCCTTGACCAAACCTGCGTTAACAATGTGGCCTCCAGGACAGACAAGGGCCGTTCCGAACTGTCGGCGCTCGGCCCAGGCCGCCACCTCTCAGCTCTCGAAAAGCTCGCGGGTTTGGTTCTCTGAAGGCGTAGGTGAGGCGTCGAAAGAGGCGTGGCGTGGCGTGAGGCGGGGCTAAACGCCAGGGAGGGAGGCCGAGGGCCGTTGCCAGGCAACGCGCAACGGGGCGGGACCTTGCGTCACTGAGGTGCGACTGTGTCGCTCACCGAACCGCTTCTAGCCGCGGGCCTGAGAGGCTGGTGGAGCAGCATAGCTGCAGCGGGGAGCGCGATGCCTTGAACCTGTGGTGAGCTCCGCAGCGCTGTCCTCCCGCAGTGTCCTTCGTTAACTGCTCGCACCCTCGACCCTTGCGTAGGAACCGCGCCGGGCCTTGACTGCCGAGCCCGGCTCCCCTTTCCAGGCCGCGGCTGAGGGCGTGGGGCTGGCCGGGAGGCCCCGCCGGAGGCGCTGACTCCGTCCGGCGGTTTCCGAGTGGAGAGGAGGCGGTGGGTGCCAGTCCGGGGCTGGTTCTGGGAAGCGGGGAGAGGTGTGCCTCCTGGAGCCCAGAGTTGAGTGTTGTCGCCGGCGCAGGCCGAGTCGTTCCCCTGAGCCCACCCTGCACCTCCCAGCTGGCTCAGGCTGCCACCCTTCCCCGGCGCCGCCGCCTGCCAGACTAGCTGCCGTCCTGAGATCCGGCCGGGGAAAACGTTTCCTTGGTAATGATAATTGGAGAGCTTACGCAGAAGGAAAAGAAACCTTCTTTGTTAGCTTTTGAAACGATTTCCTCAGCGATCTGTCTCGTGTTACAAAATGTGGCTTTACTGTTGTTGAAATTTATCCCCTGCCTCCCTATTGATTGAACGGCCGTGGACGTTGATGTTCTGCCCCTTGTCGATTTTGCGCTGTCCGGCGTTTTTTTTCTTTCTCCCAGCAGTAGCACTTCTAATTGTTTGTAATTCTCACATCTCCAGCACAAAGGGCGGTTGCCATGCAGCCCCGCCCATTTTTCTTGCTATCGAGTGAGCTTGCTTTATTCAGAATTTTGGCCGGGGCAGGAGCTGCCAATCAGCTAATGATCCATAACTGGTCGCCTTTTTTTTTTGTTTGTTTGTTTTTTTTTGTTGTTTTTTTTTGTTTTTCTCTGGTACCAGGAACCGAACTCACAACCTTGCGCTTGCCAGGCAGGCGCTTTTTGCCGCTGAGCTAAATCCCCAGCCCCTTGGTCGCCTTTATATGGAAGTCACCCCTCTGAGAAGTGATGCTTTCATAATTTAACTCAAAAATAGTATGAATTTTTCTCTATGTTGCCTGGCTTCAAAGTCTAAATATTTTCCTCCCAAATATGATTGTGTGTTTCAAAGTTAATTCTTTGTCATTTGATGTAAATGAATTTTATATTTGATCCCTCTTAGGTTCTTATCTAAAAGCACACTTACTTTCCCCTTGTTGTTCAGAAAAAGAGAGAATGTCCAAAGAGAATTTTACATTTAGCATGTTTTTCGAAATATTTAGAAAAGTATTGCTTTAAACACACTGATGCTATTAGAAATCCATTTATTTCCTACGACTGTACTGTATTCTTAATTTTTGATAAGATCATTGATTGCAGAACAGCCTATTTGTTTCACTCTGGACCTGTTATAACTGCATTAATTTCCTGTCTTGAAAAAGGGCCAATACCTACTCAAAGACATAGTTTGAGTAAGCAATGGATAATAAATAGTGTTCTTAGGGACTTCGTTCTAGTACTTAGCTTGGATTACTGAGGTTAAAGTTGATATGAAAGTAGTTGATAATTCCACCTAGAAACATCTTTTTTGTAAGTGAATTTGAAACAAATTACAAACTTTGTTGGAGAATGGATATCAGCGAGTTTCTAAACCCTTGTCAGCTACTTACTCTGTGAACACTTGCAGGCTTTTCAATTTTACTTGAATCCTTTCATGAATAAATTACGGTTTAAGTTTTCAAAGATTTTTTCTGAGGTTTTTTGGTGGGTTGCCAATTATCCATCAGTAATTGTTATATTTTTATAAGGAATATTTTGACTCTAACAATTCATTTGTTAAAAAAAGAAGTGATAAGTATATGTACCGCCCACTGAGAATGTGGCATTTTTGGAATCCTTGATGTTCTTGTGAGTTTCAAAATAACAGCTCTTTATTCAGAAAACCACTCAAATGTTTTTTGAAAGCACATTTCTATCCTGCTAGAAAGGACTATGTTCTAGGCGGCACGACAATTTGAGAGCTGCTAGTTTTCTTAAGAAATCTTTACTGATTTGTCGTTTGCTAGATTTTATGCCAGTGGCTTGCAAACTGTTCCTATGGGTTATACTACTGTTCCATATGATTTAGAACAAAATATTTTGTTCATATCAAATAATGAGTATTTTTTGATTTCCATAAACGTTTATAATTCGTTTTTATATTTTTGCACTTCTTCCATTAACTTCTACGTCCCTCCATGTAAGTACTAATAGATAACTGAACAAAATAATAAGTCAAAAGACTTCCAAGTGAATAATAATCCAAAAATTGTCAACAATAGTTACTGTATTCATTTAGAAAACATTATGTCCCTGTGTATCTTCCGGAAGAGAGAACACAGCTAAATAGCCTGAAGAAAACATGGAGGGGGATGGGCAAGTGACAATTGGTAATATGTGCTATGACAGAAATATGTGTAGTCACCAAGCAAAGCACTGAAAGAGCTGTGGTGGGTGACTAAAGGGTGGCATTAACAGATTGTTTTGTGAACTTGTACTCTTCGTTGTTGCTTTATGCTGTATATAAGTTGTATTTTTACACGAGTGATGAGTGATAATATTTATCAATATTTTATTGTTTTCAAAACAACCTGCAAATTTAAGGCCCTTCCTTCTGAATCAGGTTGAGAACCATTGTTCCTGTTCTTAAGTAGTCTCTAAATTATGTTACATTTTAGTGCAAAGCGGCAGTAACGAGGTATCCTGGATACTAAGTGCAATTATAGGAAAAGAAGCTAAAATGCAGCCTCACATAATAAACTTTATCATTTAAATTAGGCACCAGGTCGAAACACGCCAAAACCAAAGAAACATTTTCTAATAAATCAGCAACAAAGACTCCATTTATTTATTTATCTATCTATCTTTTTGAGACAAGGTTTCACTGTGCCCTTCAGGTTGGCCTTGAATTCACTTTGCAGCCCAGGTTGGCCCCTTACCTCAAAGCAATCCTCTTGCCTCAGCCTACCAAATGCTGGGATTACAGGCATGTGCCACCATGCCTGGTCCCAAGACTCCTTTTTAAAAAGGAGTTTGGTTTTGGAGAGCAATGTAGGGTGGTCATCCTAAATTATACCACCCAAATTATACCACTTTGGCAAAGGGATCATTTTGAGTTACAGACATTTTCAAAAGTAACACATATGAGAAGTACACTCTGCTCTTCCTTTTTGTTCCCAAAAGCAGGAGGTAAAACTCCCATATGAAAGGAAGACATTCTTAGAGATGGACAGTTGAGGCCAAGAGGAATCGGTACAAACCTTCCTCAAGTAATTCTTATTTTCCTAGTCATTTTTCCAAACTTCTTTATCTTGTCATATTTTCACATTTTTCTACTTTTTGTCCAACCTAGCTTTCAACCCTACCTCCTTTTGTCTTACCTTTCCTATATATATTTGTATGTGTATATATATATATATTGATTAGATTATCATTATAAGTTTACATTAAATATTCAGATTATATTTCTAAGGTTTCATTTTTTTCTTAACTATTGTGGATGTACTTCAGTCTGATTGATAAGAATCTTATTAAAAAAAGACTTACTAGATTTTGATTGAGTTGATACAGCAAATTTGAGGAAGCTTAAGTTTAATTTGGGGAGTAAAATAGTGGGTTAGAGATAAACCACTTCCCACTCAGGCAAAAATTTTTATTCCACTCATGAGATGAACCTTTTATCTTTACTTAAACGTTTCCATACATCAATGGAAGAAAATCTATGCACATTACAACATCCCTTTCTACTTCTGGATAGGAGGACATTCTTATATTAAATTGAAATCTGCCTCTGTAACTCACATTATTGGCCATTCTGTTCTCTGTAACTGTGGAATATCAATCTTATTTCCTCATCCACATGACAACTCCTCAAATATTTGAACAAATTCTTCCAAGCTATGCTATCATAGGATAAATCACTCTGGACACATGGTATCTGGAATATTTTCTTATTTATTAATTTACTACCCTTTAGAATTCTCACTGCTTAGACCCTCAGTGTGGTCAAACCATTATAGAGCACAAAAGAGCTAGTCCTCCTTGCTCTGAACATCTGCTTTTAGTAAGAGTTTGAGATTACTTTAGCATCACTGATGCTCCATTGTGCTGTTGACTTGTTTTGCTTAAAAAACCTCAAACCTTTCGGATTTCAGCTGCCTTTAATTGCTTCTCAGCCTTTTGGCTAAAATCAAGTGTAACTGCCTTTAAGTACATAAAATGGCTTAAGTGCTTTTTTGGAAGGACTTATTCTAAATACCATGTGCTAGGTGCTTTTGTGCAGTTGGCTTTTCAAAACATATTCAGGAGTTAACTTTTTGTTGTATTAAATTTAATTTTAGCAAATCAGTACAGTACCTATTTTAGTCTTAAGGTAGTAAGTATTATTCATTTCTTTACTCCAATTTTGGGCATCCTCAGACTGGGCAGGCAGGCCGTGCCATCTTGTCTTCAGGTCATCAATAAAACTTAAATATCCCACTTCTTGATGCCAGCCTTCCCTTTCCCTCTGCCTCTCTATCTGAGACACTCCAGTCTTTTTTTTTTTAACCTCAAATGCAGCATGGTACTTCCTATCTCAAGCCCTTCCCGGAACCTCAGCCTGGAACATTCACTCACCATGCCCCACCTCTTCTATCTCACAAATCCTGACTGTCCTCAACTCAAATCAAATGTTTGCCTTTTTTCCCTGACACAAGCTAGTCAGGTCCCCCTTTTATAGGTTACATAGCACCCTGTGTATATTTGATTTTGTATTTCTCATTTTGTAATTACATGCTTATTTCTGTGATTACTATCTTTCCCATCATTCCCTGATGACTCACAGGCGTATCCCTAGAACAGAAGTACTGGGCACATGGTACTTGATTGGTTTGATTTTTTTAAATGATCATGAAAGACAGTGAATCCCTAACACTAGTCTGCAGCCATTTGCTCCTAATATTTTTAGAATTATGGATGAAAACAAATATAAGGACAATATATAGTTTAAAATAAACAATTTTGCTTTGAAGAAAATTTTAGTAACTTGAGTCTTCCTTAATTTCTTTTTGTTTACCTCTCTACTGTGATATTTATTGTTGCCAAGTAGGCTCAGATTCAAAACAGTAATTTAGGAGTTTCTCTTTTGTTAGTTCATTGTACTTTTCGTATATTTAAAATAACTAAAAAGTAAACCTCCACTACAGTACATTAAACTTTAATACCAAAAGCAAAATTTTCATAGTTTGGGCACTATATTTTAAAGCTATAACTTTATTCTTATTTAAATGATAAAATAAGTTTCTTGGCAGAACTCTTCCTTTGAAGTTGTTGCTATTTCACTTGCTTTATATATGGGTATTAAATAAAATGTTAAAATCTTTAATAAGTGAATGAATAGAATTTCTAGAGGGTAGTCAGATTTTTTAAATTGTAGTACATTTTTCATTTCCTACTTTTATTTTTCAAAACTGAAAAAAATTACTATCTAGGTGACTTTGGACAAGTTACTTTAACCTCTCTATGCCTGTACTCCCAACTGTCCTTTTTCCTCATCTATAAAATGGCTATTAAAAAAATTTAAATAGCAGAATCTGAAGAGCACATGAAATGCTTAGAAGTGATTAACAGATATGAGCTGCTTTACTGTCACTAATAGTAATATTTGTATTGAATAGGGATTATCACATACAGTTACTGCATATATCAGCATAGACAAATAATGTACTAAATATACTAAAAATCTCAACACTTACTCTTTTGGTTAATCATTATTTAACAAGAGGAAAGTAACTATCTAAATTAAATATATCTAACTTTTGTGCAGCCACAATACATAGAATTATATCTTTCAAGACTTTAAAGTAAGTGGTTATTAAATGCAGTAAGTGTTTTGTGCTTAAATTTTAAAGTCAATTCAACAAAGTGTTAATCTTTATTGACAATATATTGTTAAACTAGTGACTCAACCTTTTGACTCATATTTAGAAAGCAAATAACATAAATTCTAGGTTAAAGTTCCTACAGAAATTAGAGCTAAAGAGCTGTTTTTCACTAAGCAAAAAATGTGAAGTGGTTAAATTATCTTAATATTTTAATTTTATTAGATGTTTTCAAACCAAAAATGTATGCATTTTTTAATTAAAAATAAGTTAAATATTTATAAATAACAAAATTTTAGCTGATAAAATTGTATCATGTATCTTGTGGTCAAGAATGTGAGTACTGTACAGTGTGAAAAACGGGAGTTCAAAGTTTGTTCCCACCCCTTACTGTGTATTTTTCATGAGGTGCTTAGCTCTATTTCCTTATCTGTAAAATAAAGCTATAACAGTGTCTATTTCTTAGGATGTTATAAGAAATAAATGACATAAAATAGTTAGGAAAATTAAATAAGGTAAACGAACTTCCTATTGAGTACAGTCACTTGAAAGTGTATGTGAGAGAGAGTGATAATGGTTTGGTAAAATTTTAGAAATTAAGAGGTTCATTATCTCCCCAATATCATAAGTGAATCCTGTTTTCGTATTTAGCAATGTGATTCTGAAAACAGAAGTATAAATCTTTATTTTAAAGATACAGTCATTTAAACAAGTCCTATCTTAGACTGTTAGACCCATGTAAGTCTACTGAACAAGTCCTATCTTAGACTGTTAGACCCATGTAAGTCTACTGAACAAGTCCTATCTTAGACTGTTAGACCCATGTAAGTCTACTGAACTCTCAGAGTTTTTCGTTTTTTTAACGGTGGATATATTTCTATTTTTATATTCTATGTAAAAGTAACTTTATGTATATTTGACAGAAATTATGTGAAGCAACACTTCTGGATTCTAAAAGACATCACTTCATCATGGGACAGCAAATTTCAGATCAGACACAGCTGGTTATTAATAAGTTACCGGAAAAAGTAGCAAAACATGTCACATTGGTTCGAGAAAGTAGCTCCTTAACTTATGAAGAATTTCTTGGGAGAGTAGCTGAACTCAATGATGTGTAAGTCTTTCTTTTTCATTTTTTTTTTTCCTGTTGAGATTTGCATGTCCTGGCTGTGTAAGAGGTAACCAAAAGTGTTGATTGGTAAAATCAAATGTACCAATTTCCATGAAGTGGAGTTGGCCCTTCGCAAGTGCCGTGCTCTCTAACAACTGTAAAGTTAGATTTATGCAGAAGAAATGGTAGCTAGGAAACAAGAACTAGAAACTAGCATAGCTGAACTACTGGAAGACTGTATTTCCTAAGGCTAGTTGTTTGTTTTCTGGGGGTTTTTTTTTTTGTCTTTTTGAGACAGAGTCTCGCTATGCAGTTCAGACTGGCCTTGTGCTCACTTTGCAGCCCAGCCTGGCCTCGAACTTGCAAACAGTCCTCCTGAATGCTGGGATTACAGGTGTGCGCCACCAGGCCTGGCGAGTTGTTTTGTTTTTAATGGCCTTGTTTTACTTAGCTGTAAGTCACTTTGTTGAATGTGATATCTTTACTGGTGCTTAGAAAGAAATGTGAGAAATGATAAAAGGACACTACAGTGTTTAAATATGTCTTTGAACTGATTTAAATCAGTGTTGATAACATGATACTGAATTATCGTGCTCTAAAAATGTTATATTTTTATGTTAGAATCTTGTGGCTCTCAAAGTTACTCTGCTAAAAGAGGACAGTAAAGCTATGTTTAATATCTCCAATCATTTGTTATACTTGATCAAGCTCCAAATTATCTAAAAAACAAAAACTTTCAGAAAGATACTTTAATATTGCTTAAACAGGACTCAAGCAAGAACAAGAGATCTGAGACAATAGTCAAAATCTCAATAAGGGAAACCAGCTAAACTCTTTAAGTCCCAATTTTTTGGATTTGTTTTTCCTAAAGGGCTTGCTAGACATTTAAAGACAATTGAGGTATAGACATGACAAAAAAATTTATAAATATAATTCCACAACGTTGTTGACTTTAAAAAACTTGAAAATTAAGTTGTATATCTATGTTTAAAACATTCTCTATTCCTGTGTTTTAAGAATGCAGTTATTATGATCATTAGAGTCGTTATTTGTCTTGGTATTTTTCATCATGTTTTCATCTCTGGAAGTGTTTCTTGAATCTGGTTTTATAGTGCTATTTTTTTGTATGACCTCTCATAAAATTAACAGATGTGCTTGTTTCTTTTCAGAACTGCTAAAGTGGCTACTGGCCAGGAAAAACATCTTCTCTTTGAGGTACAACCTGGTTCTGATTCCTCTGCCTTTTGGAAAGTGGTTGTACGGGTGGTCTGTACCAAGGTGAGACTCATAGAGTTCCATTCCTAAACTTAAACTATTTTGATGGTTAAAAACACATTCATGTAATATAATATAGTAGAAATAAATGTTAATAATTTGGTGATCTCATAAAGCATAGTTTTGATACAGTTACTGCCTTCCACCAACTCTTTGTACCTTGCCAAGTTATCTAATTGCCATATAGCAAGAGTATTTTATTACTTGAAATTCTTTAATTTTTTTCAGTTTTTATTTTTTTATTACTACATGTTTGCAGTACATAATGATTATATTCCTTGAGGGGAGTTAGTGCATCTATATAATACATCTTAATTCTTTTTTTAAATCATCTTCCCCTCTCTTCCCTCCCCCTCCCTTTATCTCCTTCCCTTGCAAAAGATCTATTACTCCTTTTCCTTTATCTTTTATCTTGTTCTTTATTTATATTTTGATCTTGTCATATAAGAGAAACCTTACAATATTTAAGCTTGTGTGTCTGATTTATTTCGTGTAACATATGTTCTCAAGGTACATCCATTTTCCTACAAATGACTCAAGATTATCCTTTATGGCAGAGTAATGTTCAATTGTGTATGTACCACACTTCATTCATTCATCTGTTGATGGACATTGAGGTTACTTCCAAGATTTAGCTATTGTGAATTATGAACATGGGTACTGGTAAACTCTTCTACCTCTCTTTTTGGGTTTTAGCTGGCTGTGGAGTCCTGTGGTAACACACTGTTGAGCGCTGAGATGACACCTTTAAAATGAAAGTTATTTCGGATAATTTCTTTAAGAACACTGGGTTTCGTTAATTTTTAAACATCTATTAGAAAGGTTTGGTGTGATTTATTTTGATGATTTTTATTTATAGAATGGATTTTTCAGCATCATTATACTCTATTGTAGTTCAGTCTTTACGTGTTAGATAGTTGAATATATCAGTTGTTAAAAATGTAATAGCAGCGTTCATAGAATATTAGAAAAACCCATCCACCAATGAGTAGATTAGAATAGACAGTTCTTAACCTTTTTGAAACCACAGGCCTTTGAGCAAAAATGGAAGCACAAATTTTATTAGGCTTTCTTCTGTCCCAGTCCCTGTTCTAAAACAAACATGCAATAAAATCACTCATATGCATATAAACCATAAGTGAGACTTTTATAAATGCCCTATACTCCATTCCTAACCAAGTCATAAAGAATGCTTATTTAGATTTTTTTTTTCCTTTCAATTACAGATTCCATTGATAACCTCAATAGTATGTCACATTTCCCTAGTGGATTGTCCACTTCCAGTTAATTCAAAGGGGTGAGCGCAGGTATTCCAGGCACTAGGAATATAATAAATGATAAATAAAACAAATTCCATGCCTTTAAAGTGTTACTTATAGTTCAGGCCCCTCACTTTTCTTGTCCAGATTACTGTAGATTCTGTATTAATCTCCACACTGCAATACTTTCTTATAATTCTAATTCAGGCTGCTGTGAGGTAACCTTTTCAAAGCACAGCTGTCATCAACTCACTGCCCTCCTTAAAATTCCTTAAATTCCTCATTGCCTACAAACTATTCCCAACTCCTCCATGATATGGCTCCAAGCTATTTTTTTTCTGCTTCGTTCACAACTGTTTCCTTTTACATTCTGTACTTCGACAAGGCTTAATTAATTAGGCTGTTACTTTTCCTACCACAGTCCTCAGTGCTTTTTGTTCCCTCAGTTAGAAGGTCCACTCCTCTGTGATCTAACTTGCCATCAGCTACAAGTCACAGAAAAGGCCTATCAGCCAGTTTAAACAAAAGCAGTATTTGTTTTCTCCCTTATCAAGAATTCCTGATAGAGACCAGCTGCCAGGATTGGTTCATTTAAAGACCTGACAAATCTCTCTTTTCACCTCATTGATCAGGGTGAGGTCACATCTCTTTCATACACATACACTGGCAGAAGGAACCTACCTGCTCACCATTACATTCAACATTCAAAATAATATGTAGAACATCAAAAATATGTTGAAGGAATATTCTCATATAACTGGGGTGTGATGAAGCTTGTGTGTTGATACACTGTATTATCTAAATTACATTAACTCTCCACCTTTATTTCATAAAGCTCTCAGCTCACAGAAGAGTCCTATATAAATTGTAGGAAGGTATAGGACCAGAAGTGGGTCACGCATTTGATCCCTTAATTTTCTGTTGCTTCTTTATGTTTATTTTGTTTTGTTTTATCTTTTTGAGACAGTGTCTCGCTATGCAGTTCAGGTTGGCCTTGAGCTCACTTTGTAGCCCAGGCTGGTCTCGAACTCACAATGATCCTCCTGCCTCAGCCTCCCGAGTGCTGGGCCTACAGGTATGCGCCACCATGCCCGACAGTTTTGTTTTGTTTTGTTTTGTAACAAGGTCTCACTGTGTAGTTCAGGCTGGCCTTGAACTCACAGGGATCCTCCTGCCTCAGCCTCCCAAGTGCTGGGGATTATAGGCATGCACCACCATGCCTCGCCTCTTGCTTCTTTTTGATACACAGAATTAATTTTTAATTTTATTAATTAAGGAAATTCCTTTTTATCCCAATATCTCTAACCACTACACCTTATGCAGTTAGTGTTAACTTCTTCCTTGAAATAAGATTCTAAGTAGAAAAACAAAAAGTGTTAAAGACAAAAGCAATTAGATCTTTCTTTTGTGTGGTTTTTTTTTTCCTTGATTTTAGATCTACTTGAGAGAAAATTTTTTATTTGCCTTCCTTAGGTTCTTCTCAAAAGAATCCTTGGGAAATCAGTGTTTACATTAGAAAGAATTAAATCTGATTTGAAAATCTGACATGACAGGGAAAGCTGTTTTCTGAATTGAGGAACATGTGTACTTTGCCCTTTTATATCTACAGTAAGACCTTATCTTGATATTCTGTATTATGCCGTGATTATCCTTAAATAAAATTTAGTTTAATTTTAAAATAATGTATAAATGGAATATTGTTTCTCATACTCCACGAGCAATCCATAAGTGAGTCCTGTCAGTTTTCTCCTCAAAATATATTTGGGATCGGGGCTGGGGATTTAGCTCAGCGGCAAAGCGCCTGCCTGGCAAGTACAAGGTCGTGAGTTTGGTTCCTGGTACCGGAGAAAGAAAAAAAAAAAAAAAAATGTATTTGGGATCTAGTGAGTTCTTACCATCTGCAATATACTCCCATCCTATTCCTACCTAGTGACCAGCTCTTACTAGGATTATGCTAGTCATCACCTAACTGGTCTCCCTGCTTCTGCTTCCCTCCCCCCACTCCATCAGCACAACAACTGGTCTATTTCACATCACAATGTGAAATGTAAAACAGATTGAGTGTTTTACTTCTTGGCTCACAGCCCTCCAATGATCCCTATGTACTTGAAACAAAAGCCAAAGTCGTTACTGTAATCAGCAAAGTTCTGTATATTCTATGCCTGCCTTACCCTTTAACCTTATCTTCTACCACTTTTCCCCCTCATTCTGTTAGAACCACTCTGGACTCCTTGCTGGACTCCTTGTGCTCCTCACCAAGTGCACTTTTGCCTTTACATAGTCTCAAATGATGGTCTTTCCCCCAGATACCTATATATTACTCATTCCGGTACTTCTTCCCGTTCTTAAATGACATCTTTCCTGTAAGGCCTCCCCTGCAGCCCTTCAGCATTCCTTCTCCCCAATTTCAACTTCTCCATAACCCTGATTTTTATCTAACGTCATCAGTATTTGCCTGTCTCTCCTACCTATCATATAACTGGCATGAGGGTAGAGATTTTTGTTTTCTACACACTATGTCTTTAGTATCTAGAGCATTACACCTACTACCATAACATATACATTGGGAATACTTACAAGTATTTATTGAAGGATCCTATGATTAGACTAGTTATACTGTGATAAACTTTGCCATTACTAAACTTTTCTGAATTACTCCATGATTTCTTCTGTGCTACACAGTTCCAAAGATAAACTGGCTCACTTTCCTCAGCTATGAATACCTATTCTGTAAGCCTCTGTAAGTTCCTATTATTTTTTAATTCTATTGATTTGTTCTCTACTCTGTGTACAATTGCAAAGAACATTACATGTTTGCATCTCAACATAGATCTTACCTTCCTAAAATTTAATCAGCTCTCTGATAGAGATGGTTCTCCCATTTTCACAATATGGAATCTGACTCATTCTTGATTCTCATTATTTTCTCTCACTGCTTTTAGAAATATTAAGCAATAAATAAATAATAGTTACAACTATTATTTTAATTTTAAATATTTAAATGTTGCTATGATAGTTTTGTTGTCCCCCCCACCCCCAGTACCAGGAATTGAACTCATGACCTTGAGCTTCCCAGGCAGGCACTGTGCCACTGAGCTATAAATCCCCAGCCCCAGTTTTCTTGTTTATACTGTTTCTTTTTGCATGCTGGGGATTGAACCCAGGGCCTCATACGTGCTAGGCCAACCTTCTCTGTATGTCTCTCCCTGCATATTCTTTGTAAATATTTTCTGACTTTGCGTATTCCATTTACTCGATATCCATTTTAATTGATTTCCTGGCTTCTATTCCCACAGTCTTCTGTACCATCTCTTGTGCTAAAAGGAAGTCTTTTATATCTCTAATCTTTCTTTGGTTACTTTGAATTCTTCATCCAAGAATATTTCAGCCTTACCCTACTAGCTGTGGTCATTTCAGAAGAGAGTACATGCCCTACTCCTTAACTACCTGAAGCCATGTGAAAGCATTCCTCTGTGGTTCCCTAAATATCTTGTCACATAGCATTATAAACTGGAAGGGAGAGTTAGTCTGTAGGGTTACAATCTCTAGACCATTGAGCTGTAACTTTTTGTGACAGTTCAAAATTCAATCTCTTTTGATAGTATTTAATATTATTTCTTTAGAAGTTTTGGTACAAAGTAGAACTTCACTACATTCAAGAAAGCCTTCTGTTTTTTCACTTAGAATGGCATGTGGTTATGGAGTCAAGTAAATCTCTTAATTAGGAAATTCTTTAAGAAATTAAAAGAATTGTCAAAACTAATCTCTAAGATTCATTTCTTAACTCTGGGAAAGCCACCTAACCTCATCAACTCTAAATAAGATGATGCCTAATCAGTCAAATGAGACAAACTTGAATAAGTTCTTTGAGCCGTACAAGTGAAGAATCTGTGTTGTTCATTTATTTAAGCTGCTTTTTTAAAAAGGTAATTTACAAGTATTGAAAACCTCTTTTTTCCAGAATGTGTATCTAAATATTTGTGTCAACTCTCACCTCTTTATTTCCATTTTCTTTGTGTTTTTAGATTAACAAGAGCAGTGGCATTGTAGAAGCATCACGGATCATGAATTTGTACCAGTTTATTCAGCTTTACAGAGACATCACAAGTCAAGCAGCAGGAGTATTGGCTCAGAGCTCCACCTCTGAAGAACCTGGTGAAAACTCATCCTCTGTAACGTCTTGTCAGGCTAGCCTTTGGATGGGAAGGTATACATACATAATTGCCATGTTTCTCTTATTTCCAATATAGAGACCATTAAAAGCTCATTCAGGGGCTGGGGATTTAGCTCAGTGGCACAGCGCCTGCCTGGCAAGCGCAAGGTTGTGAGTTTGATTCCCGGTACCGGGGGGCAGGGGAAGCTCATTCATATTTTTGCTGGTGCTCCTCGTGACACCCTAAATATTTTTGTCTTAGTTGGTATTATATACCAGATCAAGTTTTGGATTACTCCATTTATTTTTGGAGTCCTTCCATTTATTTTTATAGTGCCGAACTAAAGCTAAATTAAATGATTCATACCATGTAATGTTTTTGTTGACCCAGTCTCCAGAATCTACTCTCATACTCTATGTGCTTGTATTTAATGGCAAAGAAGATATTAATGATTCCCTTTTAATAAGTATCTATGTTCTTAGATAGTCAAAGCCCAGAAGGAATTAGGTCCAAGGATTTGGCAAAGTTATTCTAGAAAGTGTCTAACTGGAGGACTAAAAAAAAAAATTTTTTTTTTGAGGCAGGGTCTTGCTATATGCAGTTCAGGCTGGCTTTGAGCTCACTTTGTAGCCCAGGCTAGTCTCGAACTTGCAATGATCCTCCCGCCTCAGCCTCCCGAGTGCTGGGATTATAGGCATGAGCCACCACGCCTGGCAAAATTTTTTAAATATTGGCTCTAGCACTTGGCAATCCATTCAGGAGTGAACAGTAGTTGGCTTACATATTGCATATACTGGAGTTAAGAAAGTAAAATCAGCCAGTTTCTGTGATGGTGCCTGTTTATTCAGGCTTAATATATTGAATATTGTTCTAGCTAAACTTTCTTTTCTTTCTCTATTATGCTTTTTGACATGTGAAAGCTCCCACCTATTACCATTTGACAATCATTATCATAATTTAAATTTGTAAATGCCTCATTGGAGAAAACATGTTGTCTTATTGTCATTCTGGGTAGACAGCAGATATCTATGTTGGTAGTGTCTTTTATTGTAAAGTTAAAGTGTTTAATAAGAATTTCTCTTTTATTATTTTGCTTACAGTTGCATTTTCTGGTCCATTCTTAACCATCTGGTTTCCAAATACTATGTAGTAGTTGAATTGTATTTTTCATTTATTATTTTCTGTTTATCTTTAATATAGTTTTAAAAATTTGGGCTATACAAGTGCTGGTGATGTACCAAATGAATTTTAGAACATTGTAGGCAGTTTAGGCTTATCTTTGTTTTAATTTGTAAAGTTGATCTTTAAAAGTTGATCTTTCAAAGACTGGAATCTGATTTTCTACCTTTCCCTCTTCAGAATGGTGATTTTTAAAAAGTGTTTTAAAAACTGGGGATTGTGTTTACCCATATACATAAGCCACATGGTTGCAAATAAAAATACTTCTTATTGAAGTATTAATGAAGTCATCTTAATGAAGGAGGTGAAGGTGTTACCTCTTTTCATGTGCCCTTGAGACTGAAACTCAATGCCTAGTTAGTTAGTTAAGGCTGCATCTTAACTTTCTATGTTTTTAGCTTGTAGTGATGCCCTGATACACTAGTTCATAGAAAAAGACTTTACAAGTTGAAGGGACTCTTAAGGGCCCTTTATGTACTAGAGCTTTATATCTGATGTATAATTTGATCACTGGTTTGCATTTATTGAGTACTTATAGGATATTAGAATTGAGGTGAAGGTTATACATGTATAAAATCATTAGATCCTCTCAATAACCTCATGCAAGTTCAATTATTGGCCTGTATAAGATGAAGAAACAGGTTTAGACAAATAAATGCCATGAGTAGAAATTGACCTAGCTAAATTCAGACCTGTCAGTATAGAAGTACTGTACAGTCTTACACTTTCTGACATGTTACGGTTTCAATCTAAAATGTCCTCCAAAGTCTTGTTCAGAAGTGGGGCTTTTGGAAGGTTGTTGAATACTGGATTAATCCAGTGATGAGTTCATGGCTGAATGTGCTGTTAGGAGCTAAGGTCTGGTTGGAGGTGGGACACTGCAAGAGAAGAAGGGTGTATTCTTATGCCCAGTTCCTCCCTTCTCTCTCTGCTTTCTGTCTGCCATGAGGTCAGCAGATTTTCTCTACCATGCCTTTCCATCACTGCCTCTTCCTTGGAGCCAACCGACCATGGACTGAATTCTCAGAAAACCATGAGCTAAAGTAAACCTCTCCTCTTTAAGTTGTGGTTATCAGCTATGTCATCCTAGCAATGGAGAAGTGACTAATACACAGAGATAGAAAAGAACAACACCAAATAAGACTGAAACTCAGCAAGGCAAACATTAAGTCCTGTGGCTCCATGTCTGGCATTGAACATGGTGGTGAGATGTGAATTCCACAGGGCAGTGTTACCCCTGAGGCATTGGTGGTTGCAGTCCATATTGCCACTCTCTCATGCTAGCTTTACCCACAGCCTATGGCTTTCCTTGTCACACCGTTGACATTCCTGACATTTCCAGCTTTTTGAGTTATCTATTGCACCTTCAACTTTATTCTCACTGATTCATTTGCCCACCTCTCGGGCACAATATCAGTCCTCCCAGGCTTTCCTTTGAAATCTGAGAGGAAACCTCCATGACCCCACAGCTCATGCATTCTGCATGCCTGAACAGCCCACCATCACATGGAAAAAGCCTGCCAAGATCTGCTCAGGCCCTCTTGGATCACAGCTGTAGTGACCTCTCTGTACCTGAGTGCCACAGCTCAGTGAAATGAATCCTGGGGAACCAATTCCCTGGGTGGCTCTTCTTGAGCAGTAGGCCCAGAATTTCTGTTCTCAAATGAAAGGTTTATACATTTGTACCCTTTGACATACAGTTGGTGGGGTCCTACTGATTTCTGAGATGGTTTCAAACCATCTTTTTTCTTGTCCCTGTTAAAAGTATGTGATAATCTCTTCACAAAATTACGTGGCTCTAAGTTCACATGTGGTTCTTTTGAGGCCAAATTTTAAGTTTTTCAAATTCTTCTCTGCTTTTTGCTTCTAGTTCTTGTTACAGATTTGACTAAAAGCAGTCAGCAGTATGTATGCCACAGGCTGAACACTGGGGCTGCCTTGAAATTTCCTTTGCCAGATCAATTAGTTCATCACCTTTAAAGTCAGTCAGTGTCCCTCAACATCTTAGGACATAGGCAAAATGTTGACAGATTTTTTGCCAGCAACATACGTGACCTCTAGTCCAATTACCAGTAGAGTCCATGTTCTCACCTCAAACCTCATGAGCCTGGCCTTCACTGTCCTCATTTATGTTATCATTCTAGTCTTCTAAGCTCTGACCAGAGCTTATCACCCATCAGGCTCTGCTTACAACATGCTAGGGGTTTTCTAGCCACATCTCCAGACCTTTCCAGATTCTTCCTGCAGGTAGTTCCAAAAACTCCTGAACCACATTATCAAGTATAGTATAGCAGCACTACTCTGATACCAGTTTTCTCTATTAGTTAGCTTCTCATTTCTGTGACCTAAGTGCCCAGTACACACAACCTAAAGAAGGAAGGATTTATTTGATTCACAGTTTCAGAGGATTCAATCTGTAATTGGCTGGCAAGGCAGGAACGTCATGGTAGAAGAGCATTGTGGAGCAACACTGCTCACTTCACGTTGACCAGGGAGCAGAGCAGGGAAATAGTACCTAGCCAGGCATCTCTTAATCCAGTGAGGTTGACAGTTGAGGTTAACTGGCATGCCTCTGTCCTTCATTGTGTACTCCCATTCAACCTTCATGAGAGTTTACTTTCTCTTCATTAAACACTGATTCTAGTTTGTTTGTCAGAACAAGATCAAACTTACTATTTTGGCATTCAGGGATCAAATTATTTCAAGTCAGTCTTTTTTTTTTTCAGTCTCCTATCCCTCCTAGCAACATGTCATTCTCCTGGCTACATTTACACAATCACATACACACAGTTTTTCCCCTACCTCCATGGCTTTATTTATGCACCAGGAATGTACTGTCTAACAAAATCCTGTCATTACTCTCTCTCATCTTTCCAATAAGTTTGAAAAATACTCTCATTTTTACTTAGCACTTACTACATGAAATACACATTTGACATTGATATTTAATTTTTGTGTAATTACAAAAGTAATACTGCTTCCCAAGGAAAACCTTAAAAAATAATGGAAAAGAATAAAAGATAAAAGAAATTAATAATCACTTCAAGAAACATTTATTGATACTCTATGACAAAGACTCTGTCTTCAAAGAACTATGCAATTTTTACATCATTTGATTGTGGTAAATGTTGATTTTGGAGACAGGAAGAAAATAGATGTTTTAAGCTGAAGTACTGAGATTAGAGGTTACTGAACAAAAGGTAATCCCAGGACAGAAAAATAACCATGCACAAAGGCACATGGCTCATTGGGGGGACTCTGAATTGTGACGGGAGAAGGTTCAACATCTCTTTGCTTACCAAGAAGATGAAGGTGCTCCTTGAGGACAGACTTTGCTTCCTAACCCTTTTGTGTTTCTCCTAGGGCCTGATATTTAAAGTTAAGCTATTCATTTTTGAACTCACTATCAGTTTCAGCATTGTAAGGCCCTGATGCAAGGTCTATACATCAGACCACATTGTATCCTATATTGTGATCAATTACATTATGGTTGAAATTCATTTTTATAAATTCAGTATGATTAAAATGGGCTGAGTTATTTTCAGAAAACCTGAACATTTTCAGCCTTTGTCTATATTTTGTTTTCTTTAACAATCACAAAACTCATCTTTTATCTAGTCTTTATGAAATTTATGCCTATTAGTACTTCTTTCCTAATATATTTGGTCTCCCTAAAAGATGTTAATTTTAGTCTGATGTTAACTTTGTATATAAGTCATATAATGCTTTATATTATGGGTGTTTAGTAATGTTTTTTAAGACAATGAAAATAAAGTGGAAAGCATATGGACAGAGACTGTCATTGTTCCAGCTCAGCTTTCACATTGCAGGGTGAAGCAGCTGACCGATGAGGAGGAGTGTTGTATCTGCATGGATGGACGAGCTGACCTCATCCTGCCTTGTGCGCACAGCTTTTGCCAGAAATGTATTGATAAATGGTGAGTTATCTGCTGCCTTCAGGGATAAGCTGAGGCCAAATGGGATAGTATGTATGAGTAAATTTTGAAAAGTACAAAAATATTGTAGTTAGGTTCAAGAGACTTGTTTTCTTTAGTACTTTGAATGCCTCCTACTGATTAAAACTATTTTTTATTTTTACACCTAAAGTTTAAAAGATGTGGTGAGTATAATTTGGTTTTAATATTTTCCTTGTAAGGAGATTTGTGCCTGATTTGAATCTAGAATTAGATGCTTTCTTTTTTTCCCTTTTTTCTCATTTTCACACTTATTCTCTGTGTTTATAAGGAATAAATCCTTGAATATTGGATTTAGGAGACATTTTTAGATATTAGCTGGTTAAGCTCGTTGTACAAAATAAAAATTGAAGGGAACACATAACTGACTTACAATAAACTACATATATCTGGGGTACAATTTTATTTATTTACTTATTTATTCATCCATTCATTCACTTATTTGTTTATGGCACTGGGGATTAAACTCCTTGCCTTCACAGTGGGGTCCATCCCTAGCCCTTTTTATTTTTTATTTTGAGACAGGGCCTCACCGAGTTGCTATAAAGCCCGGGCGAGGCTCAAACTTTCTATCCTTCTCCCTCAGCCTCCCAGAGTGTTTGAGTTACGGGCCTGACCATCACACCAGGCTTGAAGTACAGTCGGCTGTTACAACATCTGTACACATCCATACAAACCATCACAGTCAAGATAATGAACAAATCCATAAGCCACTGACCTCAGAATTACCTTGTGCCCCATTATAAAGCCTCCTCCTCACTCCCCCTCCCCAGTTCTCTGGCAGGTACTGATCTACTTTCATTATTTGCTAAAAGTAATTTTTATTTTCTAGGATTTTTATAATTGGAATCATACAGTATATACTGTGTGGGGAGGGAAGTATCTGGCTCTTTTCATTCCATGTAATTGAGATTTATCCTTATTGTAGATATGGATAAGTTTAAAAAGTTCCTGTATAGGCTGTTGGACAAGAATATTTATGGACATATATTTTTATTTTGAGAGGGTAAATACCTAGAAGTAAAATGGCTAGGTCATATACGAGGTGTGTGTTTTAACATTTTTGAAATTGCCATTTTCCAAAACAGTTGTGCCTTTTTAAACTACCACCAGCACCACATAAGACTTCCAGTTGTTCCATGTCTTTGCCAGTATTTAATATGGTCAGTCTTTTTAATTTAAGCCATTCTAATTAGCTGTATAGTAGTATCTCATAATGGATCTCTCTACTAACAGAAAAAGTTAACCAACTTTCTATATGCGAATTTACTGTTTAACTATCTTCTTTGAAGTATCCATTCAAATCTTTGCCCCGTTATTGGGAATTTTAATAGTTCTTTGTACACATTCTTGATACTTGTGCTTTATCAGATACAGTATATGATTTGTACATATTTTCTACCACTCCTGCTTGGTTTTTCGTTCTTTTAAGGATATCTTTAAAAGAGTAGAAATTTTTAATTCTGAGGTCTAATTTATCAATTTGTGATTCATAGATAATTATTTTAGTGTAATATCTATGAAATCTCTAACTCAAAGATGTAAAAGATACTTTCTTTCAAAAGTTTTATAATTTTTTGGTTTTACATTTATGTCTGTTGTCCCTTTTGGGTTGGTTTGTTGAAAGTTGATTTGTCTTTTCTTCACTAAATTGTCTTTTGATCCTTTGCTGGAAATCAGTTGTTCGAGTATGGGTTTATTTTTAGACTTGTCTGTTTCATGCCAATACCATCTTACCCTCATGAATATAGTGTTTGTCTTAGTTAATTTTCTTGTTGCTGAGACAAAATACCTGAAATCCAAAGGTAAAGGAGGAAAGATTTATTGTAACTCACAGTTTGTAGAGGTTGCAGTCCACATTCAGCTCCAAGGCAGAGTGGTATGGCAGAGGGACATCACAGAGGAGAAACAATCCATGGCAAAGCAGGGCAGGCAGAAGGCAGCAAGCAGCAAGCAACTACAGCAACCTTCTTCCTGTCTCTTATATTTCATTCATACTACCTACCCTTAGGGAATCATACAAAGTTAATGAAGAAAATGTTTATTTTAGCTCACAGTTCGTAGAATTTTCAGTCCCAAGGCAGGGCAGCATAGCAAAGGAGCATCACAGAGGAAAAACAGTTCATGATGTGGCAGGCAGGAAGCAGCAAGCCTGCCTTCCATCTTTTTCTTCATATTCCACCCAGGCTACAAGCGTTTTGGTTGGTGCCACCTATACTCAGGATGGGACTTCCCATCGTCTATACCCAGAACTGTACTAAACCAATCATTGGACTAATTTTGTTATCACACACCCTAGATCCAGCCACCTCTGAAAAGCCCCATCTGAAAGTAGTACCTGAGGCTTTGGGTTTCTTTTGTTTGTTTGTTTGTTTGTTTTTGTTTTTGTTTTTTTCTTCCGGTACCTGGAATCAAACTCACGATGTTGCACTTGCCAGGCAGGTGCTGTGCCACTGAGCTGAATCCCCAGCCCCTACCTGAGGCTTTGAAGGGACGTCAAGATACAAGCCATAATTGACTTCTTAACAATATTGTGCATTCTTTTTTTTTGGTCTTTTTGAGACAGGGTCTCGCTATGCAGTTCAGGCTGGCCTTGAGCTCACTTTGTAGCCCAGGCTGGCCTCGAACTCACAGTGATCCTCCTGCCTCAGCCTCCTGAGTGCTGGGATTACAGGCATGCTGCTGTACATTCTAACACAGTACATTTCTCCATTTTTTAGGTCTTTAATATCTCCAAGCAATTTTTGTAGTTTTCAGTGTTGCATATTTGTGACCAATTTGCCTCTACATGTTTCATATTTTTTGCTGTTTTCAAATGGGTTTTACTTCAAGTTTTAATTATGTATTGCTAGTGTTTAAAAGGTTATGGATTTTGTGCATCAGTCTTATATCCTGTGCTCTTACTCAACTCATTTATTAGTTGTTCTGTAGCTTTTTAGAGATTCCATAGGATTTTCTTGAATGTCTAAATTGTTTTTTTAAAAGAAAATTTTTTCTGCCACAAAATTCTAAACTGACAGTATTTTTACTTCTAGTACTTTAATGATATTGCTCTACCTTTTCATGCTTACATTGTTTTCCTTTGTCTCTCATTGAATTATTTATTCTGCTGGAGGTAATATGTCCTTTCTTTCCTCTGGATGCTTATTAAGGTTTTTCTCTTTTCTCTAGTTTTAAGTAGCTTGGTGTCCCTTAAAGGTTTTTTTTGGTTTTGTTTTATTTTCTCATGTTTGTTATGCTTGGAATAGATCAAGCTCCTTAGATTTGTAGATTTATAGCATCAATATTGGAAAATTTTCAGCCTTTATTTTCTCAGAATTTTTTACTGTTTTCTCTCCCGGCTATATACAGGATTCCCATTACTGTGCATTGGACCACTTGAACTTGTACTTCATATTGAACAGTTGTTATGCCTTTCCAAATTCACTAATCTTTTTCTCTGCAGTGTCTAACTTACCATTAATCCCATTCAGTATAATTGTTTACCTTAGATATTTTTGTTTTCCTTTCTACAAGTTTGAATTTTTAATATTTTCTATGTCCTGTCTCATATAATTGATCTTTACTGTTTTGAATATATGGAATATTATTATAATTCGAATGTTCTTTTCTTGCTACATCTGCTAATTCTAATATGTGTCTCAATTCTGGGTTGTTTTTTCTCTTCATTGTGGATTATATTTTTCTGCTATTTCTTTATATCCCTTGTAGTTTTTGATTGGATGCCAGATATTGTGAATTTTACCCTTTTTAGGTACTAGATATTTTTGCATTACTAAAAATGTTATTGAGGTTTGTTCTAGAATATAGTTAAGTCACTTAAAAACAGTCTGATCCTTCTAGGTCTTGCTTTTATGATTTGTTAGATGGGACCAGAGCAGTGTTTGATGCTAATTATGCCCCACCAGTTATGGCCCACTAGGACTCTTTGTAATTATGAGGTGTTCTCGTCTGGCTGGTGAGAATAGAAAGTATCCCATGCCCTTTGTGAGCTTTGGGTGCTGTTCCCTCCAATTCTCAGCCTCATACAGCTTCCTCACCTGCACAGACTGGTCTGTACTCTGCTAAAGATAGTGAAGGGGGATTTTCTGTAGAGCCCTACAACTCTCCTTGTATGGCTGTCTCCTTTCCAGTAGTCTGCCCCGCACAAGTAGCTTCTTGGCTTCCCCAGAGTGTCAGTTGTATCTTCACCACAGGGAGCCTGCTAGGCCCCACATAGGTCCCCCCTCCCCGCTACCTGCCCCAGGGCATGGAAACCCTCACAGGTGCAATGAGCTGGGGCAGTTAAAGGGCTCACTTTCTTTGCTTCCCACCTGTCAGGAATCATTGTCCTTGTGGCCTGGTGTCTTAATATGAAACACATAATCACACACACACACACACACACACACACACACACACACACACACACAAATAGGGAGTGGACACTCCACTTTTGTACTGAGCTGCATCCCCAGTTCTTTTTTTTTTTTTTTTCTGAGACAGGCTGCTGCCAAATTGCTTAGGCTGAATTTGAACTTGTGATCCTTCTTCCTCAGGCTCCCAGAGTGCTAGGATTACAAGCTTGTACCACCACACCCAAATCATTATTTTCTACATTTTGTCTTGTGTTTTAGTTGTTTTAAAGGGAAGATAAATCTGGTCTTTGTTGGCCGGAAGCAGAAGTTGATTATTTTTAAACTGTGATGTTTTGCTCATAGACAAACACCCATAATTATCTTATAAAATATCTCTGAGGAACCAGAAATAAACCTGAATAATATATGCCAGCTCTGGCTTGCCCATTTAGTTTTTGGAATAAATTTCTAAAGTTTTGCACAGAAGCCAAAAGAGTAGTTGATATAATTTGATTATTTTGATCCTGGGTTTCCTTGACAGATGAAGAGAAAAACATTTTTCCTTGCATAATATATTTCTGGCTCAAATGTTACTTTGAAGTTTCCAAAATATTTGACAAGGAAAAAAAATCCCTTTGGAAAACATGACCTAAATTTAAGTGATCTTATATATGTATTCTTTCCTGACCAGGAAAATGATCTCCATATAAACTTCATCTTATTTTAAACCTTGAGCGCTCCATTTTTCTAGTTGCTTTAGGAAGTCTTCTTGTTACTGATTAACCGAAGGACTTTTTATCAGACCTTTAAGCACAATTACATTGTTAAGAGCCATTTACCTAGATACCACTGAGAAAAGCAACAGGTAACACCCTTTCCTGCTTCCTTATTTCCTTGCCACTGTCAAGAAATTATTCCTAGCATAATGTCTTCTATTTAAATACAAATAAATTTCACACTTTGCACTGTGACCAAATCTTCCATTTGTGAAAGGGAGTTTTCTCTCAGGATAAGGAATTTTTATAAGAAAAACTTGACCTATTTGGAACAAGGATTTGAATTAATGGCATTGCTTGTAGCAGCAAAAAGCAGGGAAACCTACTAAACATACTTTTATGGGAGATTAAATAAATCATGATATGTCCATATAGGTTATGTTTAAAAAAGCATAAACAACTTTAACCTGTGCTGACACATAATGGTCTATAAGATGTATGCACATATATGCTGGAGGAAGAGAATTTAGGATAGGAATTATTTTTCACTGCATACTTCTATGCTGATTATTAAAATCTATGTACATGTATTACTTTTCAACAAAACGCATTGCTAAGAAAGAATGAAAATAAACTTTTCTTGTTTTGATTTCCCTAATAGGAGTGATCGACACAGAAATTGCCCTATTTGTCGCCTACAGATGACGGGAGCAAATGAATCTTGGGTGGTGTCAGATGCCCCCACAGAAGATGACATGGCTAACTATATTCTTAACATGGCTGATGAGGCAGGCCAGCCCCACAGGCCATGACCTTGGGGTGAAGAGCTGCTTCTGTTACTGCGGGCTACAAGTACCCGGAGAAAGAACAGGTCTCTTGTAGCACAGATACAGAAAAACTAACTTTTCCCATCCTCTTATTTTTGCTGTTCTGGTAATGTGTTCCATTTTTTTAAATAAACTTTCCATATCTTCCATTCATGGTAAAGTAAAATTTGCTACTGTTTTAGATTGTATTTTATCTGTTCTAATGTGTATTAGAACTAATTGCACTTGAATCCTCTGCTAGCAAATAACAGCAATATTTCCAGAGGCTTGGACAAACTACAGATTTTGAGAGCAGACGTGTGCTGGAATCTTTTTTAGTTAGGTTTAAAAACTTGAATTTTGAAAAGCTGTAGCGACCTGAGAGAAAAATTTTAATGACTAAAAACATAGACTATGTGAAAGTGCGTATTACTACTTAAAACTAGTCATTCTGCTGGAGTTTAAGAAGTATGTATTATGCCCCCTTGTGGTTAGTTCATGCTCCTTTAATAATTTTTACTTGAAGTGATCCACAATTTCATAACTATGTAACTTCAGCAGTGTGTTTTTCAACTAGTTTTTACTTTTAAAAATTTTTTCTAATGATATATAATTTGGGTGAAGACTATAAAGTTGGAACTTTGCCTTATAAATGAATTTCTGCTGGAAAATCTCCTTGACTGTTCTGGAAATGCCTTTCCAAAGCTGAAGAACTGTTTCAAGCCGCTTTTGATAATGTTCATGCATCCTGGAGTTTCAGAAGGCAATTTTTCATCACAGTATATACCTTTATATTTACAGATTATGATGAGTAATTTAATATTGGTTTATGGTGCTTTTATTTTAATTTGAAGGTATCTTTTTGAGGTTTCAAGTCCTCAAATTTCTTAGGTGAAGAGAAGAACATAGAGTGAGGCTTCTTCACCACACATACGTAAAACACCTCTGCAAGCTAGAAGGTTATTTGGCTGTCTTACTGCTTCACACTATTTCCTTGAGTAAAAATGGAATTAAGATCTTCAGTAGCACCTCAACCAATTTTTAGATCTTATAAAGTAAAAATTTTAACATTAGCATTTCAGCATAGAATAAAACTAGGGCCTTGAAGTCTCCTTTAAAACAATATTTTAACATTCCTTGTAAATTTTTTGACCTATTATTATTGGTAACTTGCAAATATTGCTATTTTTCTAAGTACCAAGATACACCCAGTTGCTGCTTATTGATGACATAAATTTTTGGATAGTAAGATTTTAGGAAGTACGCAAATAAAATCCATTTCAAGGAAAAAGGTCTGTCTGAAATAACTTTATTTTGCCCTCAAAACTGAACATTGATATTCATGCTGAGGACAGCTAAGTACCAAATAGTTAAATACTCACTTTTGTTGGTTTATACAAGCAGAATTCTGGGGACTCTTATATTAACCTGGTAGTATGCCTGATGGTTATATAATCTTGAGAAAACCTCTTACTCTTGTTTGTAGCTTCCTCCTTTAGAAAGAGACTTTATCTGTGGCTTTCATACTATTTCAGCAATGAAACCATTTTTTCCCCAAGTAAAACCTTAGAACCCAATCCAGGTGTGGTGGCACATGCCTGTAATCCCAGCACTCAGGAGGCTGAGGCAGGAAGATTTCTTCGAGTTCAAGGCCAGCCTGAACTACACAGCAGCAAGACCTTTTCTCAAAAAAAAAAACTTAAACCCCTTATACACATGTTTGCATGCAAACACCCTACTCTACTGTGTAAGTCATATTAATATAAATTCCCTTTGCTCCAATAAGTAAATATTACCAACCAGTAAAAATATATAAGGCACTGCTGATATATGGTATATTAGAATTTGGTGAGTAATAATTTTGAGAGTTATTTAAAATATTTGGAGTGTGGGTCAGAAGGTTCAGTTCATGTCAAATTTGCATATTCCTAAATTTCCTCCATTGATTCTTAATAATCTAAGGAAAAAACTTCAGGATAAGTGATCCTCTGAGATGTTCTCCAGCTCTAAAAATTTAAATTGTCTTTTTGGATTAGACTTGCTGTGTTTAATTCAGATTGCCTAATTTTAAAGTGTTTCTGAAAATGAACAGTGTTGCTTTACAAGTTTTTGAGTCTTTCCAGGTATAGCTAGTGATTTTATCCCCGGAACCCTTCACCCCTGAAGAAATTATGGGGTCGAGCCCATTGAGCCCAGTGACTTGACATTACCTGCACCTGTTTATCTTACAAGATGCTCTCCAAGACACTAACTGATTTACTGTGAAATACGAAACATTTTATACTAGCCTTATCAAATAAGTGGACATGGTTCTCTGCTCACTCCACTAAAACTAGGTGATAATTCCTGAGATGTGAATGTTAGGTAGGTTCTACTGTAATATCTAATCGTAAATGTTGTAAATTTGTTTAATAGATGAAATGTACATTTTTTTCCTACTCTGTACAGCTTTGTCTTTTTTAAATATGAAGTACTTAAATGCACTTACTATGATAGGAAATACGTGTGCCTTCTAGGATTTGTGAAATGGTCTCATGTAGTCTAAGGAATGTGTCTTATAAGTTATACAGTGTTCTGTATCCTAACTCAGTAACAAAGGGTTTACTAACTATAATGCTAGAACTTTAGTTTGAGAAAATGAGTTGGACTGTGTACTGAATTTAGAGGTTGACAATAGTAGTACCTGTTTTGTTAAGAGAAACTGATCAATTGTGCAATAAATAATCTTTAGCAAGAAGTTTTTGCGAATTTAAAATATTTTTCTTATCATGTAATTTCACTTTCGTATATGCTAAATGTTTATATTCCTTAGGACTATTTTATATTGTGCTTTGGGGGGGTTGTGATGTTTGTGTGCTATGTCTTGAGATTAATTTTAAATTGGACTTGATTTCCTTGTATCTAATATATATCTAGATAATAAGACTCCTTGGAAAGACCTTTTGGTTCAGTGACTTTTAACATTAGGAAATTGAATTCATTAAAAGGCAAGTCTGGAGAATTTGCATTTTTAACTGCTGTGTCTTTATTTTCTTAACTGACCCTTACTGTCTATCAGAAGTAAGATAACTGCTGGAGATTGGAGAGATCAGCTGATCACCCACATTTACAACGGGCAACATAATGACAATACACAGTTGGCATAGCCTTTCATTTTTCTGTCTTTTTGTCCTAGTGGATAGCAAAAATAATTGATAAACTACCTTACGGTAGTTGGGTGTTTACCTTGTAAAATCCTTTTCAGGATATTAGAAGTGTATTAGAGAAGCATCAGAATCATACTGAGTAGAGGAAAGACTTCCAAAAGGAAGAGTCAGCTTATAATTAAATTTACTGATGTGTATCATGATTATACAGTATTATGGAGAAATTCTGGTATCAAAGACAAACACCTTCTCAGACATTTTGATAATTTTGTAAGATATTTATAGTCTTATCTGTCACCCACTACTCCTTAGAGACTGAGGGTACAAAACTTGCAGGAAATTATATGTGATTTGTGTTGCTTTTGTGTAGGAGTTACACTTACTCTTTATAGGAATAATCACCAACACATCACTTTCCCTTGTGTTTACAAACCCAGAAAAAGATGATATTGTTTCACCTGCACAGTGCAAATAAAGAAGAAGCCAGAAGTATATACTTTCGACTCTGCTTTAATCCAGGACACAGTAAAGGCCAGAACAGATCTCAATAAATATCAACCCAGAAGCTGAAATTTGTGTTCACCGGGCAAAGAGTAATGATAGTGATCATTTTGACAATACAATTTGAAGTAACATGAAGCAAACTGAAACCTTTAGAATAGGTGTGGGACAACACTGCCTCCAGAACCATTCCTTTAGAAACCTGAGCACAGTATACCCCTGCCTTTGATTCCAGGGGTGAACACAAAGGAAAGTAGGGTTTCACCCTGAAAAGACGAGTTAAGTGCAATGATGGAATAAAAATACAAAGTGCTCTAGAAAAAGACGTCTGGAAAGCTTGCAGGACAGGTAAAGCCAACACGTGTTGAGTGAATGGGCTACAATAATACCCCGGGAAAAGGAAAAGATGAGTGGCTGCACTGACAAACAGTAACAGGCTAGAAGAGAAAGAGCAAAGGTTACCTCCCAGGTCTAGTGAGCTTCACTAGTGAATGTCGTCCATGTCTCAGTAAAAAAATAAAGTGACTGATAGCTTTTCATTATGTCCAGTTTTAAAAAACAAACATGTCCTTTAAATATTAACTTGAAATAGTGTTAAATTATTGAATCACAGTCCTGACACTTTATTTAATAATTTAAAAAAATACTTGATATTGATAAAATAACAATGAAAAACTATACAGTACTTGCTATGTTAGGGCAAATGTATTCAACTGGAGGAATTTCAAAAATAATGAGGGGCCGGTGATCTAGCTCAGTGTCACAGTGCCTGCCTGGGAAGTGCAAGGTGCTGAGTTCGATTCCTGACACCAAAAAAAAAAAAAAAAACCCTAAGATAATGACTGGCTTTCATCAATTTCATAATTGGCTATAAGATAATGTATATATTTGCCAAGTAAAAAGGTTACATTAATTGTTCCATACACTAAAGTGACCACTGGATGGGCAGGCATAGTCACATGGCAAGACAATCTAAAATGAAGGAAGCATGTTCCCAGGCAAAAATTGGCTTCCATTAACTTTACAATTATTCAAAAAGACTTCCTACAGTCTGAATTTGCCCACAAATATTTAGAAAGGTCCTTGAGTAGCTTGTTGAGTAATCAGTGTATATATCCTTAAAAAGTTGCCAAAAGAGAAATTCATTTATTCCATATGCATTTGAGCACCTACTATGTACTAGGCACTAGTAACACAGATGAAAAGTAACATTGATAAAGCTTAACTGCAGATTGGTCTTTTAAAAATGCTTTCTACCTGGCCCTTGGGACCACTGTATCATCTGAAGAAGTCTTCATTTTAGGTAAGGGAGAAATTTTGCCTTTAACAAAACTGTGCTAGGTTATAGTGGTTTAAAAAAACTAACATTGGTGAGGCCTGCTGGACCTAGTTCTAGTCCTGTTACTAGCAGGGTGACCGTTGGCAAATTTCACTTCACTGGCCTCACCTCGGGTAAATGATGATTGGGCTACAAACAGAATATTTATAGCCAAAAGGAACAGAGATCTCCTGGTCCTGTGCTTTTCAAAGCCCTTGGTTCAAGTGGAAAATCCTTAGCAGGCCTAAGGTAAAACTGATGAAAGCAGAGTCACTTTGACAGCCGCCAAAACCTCACTGCTTCTTCCCCAGCCCTGGAGTGGCCCATGAGGGGATTCACAGTACATCTGAAAACACTGGTCTAGTCCGCACCCTCGCTTTCGGGACAAGGAAGCCAACAGAACAGGAGTGACTATGTTCATGAATACACAGGGCTTCCTACTAGAAAGGACCAAGGAGGGCTAAACAGGTTAAGAAATTCCTAAACAAACTATCAAGAAGGGGTCTCCTATTTTCTCACAAAATAGCCCCTTTATGAAAGGGAGCTTTGAAGTTGATTTTATTTAAGGCATCCAGCCAGCCGGAGGCTGAAATGAACATCTACCAGTTCGCCTGCAGGGCATACACGAAGGAGCGTGGCAGAAAACCCTAACACCTCATGGTTTTTGGCATTTGACCACGGAAAAATCCTGGCCCCAACTATTCAGGCACTGGCAGTTACAAGAGAAGCATGTGGAAGATTAGGAACGAGTACAGACAAGTGCCAGCTCCCAGGTCACCACGGAGAAGCCACCAGCCCTTACTCAGAAATACTAACACAGGTGAGCACGTTCAGGCTTCAAGGGAACAGTGCGGCCAAAATCTCAAGTCTGAAATTCTTTCAGAGGTGTCCTCTTCATAGAGGAAACCCTCTGTTTGGTATCTTGACCACAGTCGCCCAGCAGGCCTGAAATGAAACCAAAAAGTTAAGATGGGATTTCCCTGCTGGACCTAGTTGTCCAAGGCTGTGATCTCTTCCGATTTCAAGGCATCAGACAGGAAGCTGAGCTCGTTGCATAGAGTCTCGTGTCGGAATGCCATCCGGATCTGCGCCACATTCGTCCTTCGGATATCATTCCCCTCAGGTCCTTCTTTGTAGTAATGCTTTCCCAGAAACCTCTGCTTCTCCTGTGGATCAAGAGAAATACCAATGAACCAATATACCCTCGACCCACTTTCTTTATCCACGCCAGCAGCTTTGACATTATCCACAGCACACAGAGTAGCCCCCCCCCCCCCCCCCGCCTGAAGCAGATCCTCAATCAGAACATCTCCCCCCAGGACTCTTAAAATCCCTTCCAGCCTCTATGTCCTTGAGAATGGCACCCTGTCCCCCAGTCATTCCCTTTATGCCTGTGATTTCCTTGATCAGAAAGGAAAGAACTGCAGGAGCTCCCAGAGATGAAGAAGGTAAGGTGAAGTTGAGGCTCCTCCAAACATTCTGGGAGGCAACCAGGGCAGACAGGTGTGTCTGGGGGGAGCCGATCCCAGGAACAACTCATACACAACCTGAGCCTTTCACCCTCAATAGCTACTGTTCTATTTTTGAAGCATTCATAACAATGCAACATAATTTTTTTTCTCCTCAAATGCTTGCTCCTTGAATTTCTAGGTAACATAGATGACTCCCATACAAAAATTTCAAAAAGTTACATTCCTTGGCATAAATTGGTTAACTCTTTCCCCAATCATCATCACAAGGGCAGCACCTAACGGCACCTCTTCCTGTACCAGTGACATCCAAGGTTGCCGCCAGGGACCTCAGATACCATCCAGAGCACAGTTCTCAGTGCGGGCTCCACAGCAGAATCGCGCAGCAGGCTGCACAGATGCAACTGGCTCCCAGGGCCCATCCCTGGGGTTTTTTTTAATCCAATCTAAAAGGTAGTCATCTATCGCAGAAGTACTGAGTGCCTGCTGTGTGCCAGGCCTCTCTTCTGGGGCCTGAGGAGCTAACATGGAAGGAGCCCTGGTTCTTACGGAAATGCACGTTATGATGTTAATGTCAGTGGTAAGAAGGGTTGTGAAGAAAAACGAGTGAAGCAGTAGAAGATGATGGCAAGTGAGGCTGTTTTAGTGAGGGAAGGCCACTCCAAGCGGGTCTAGGAAGGGTGAAGAAGCGGCCAGGCCTGAGTGTCACTGCACCAGAGACCCTGTTCTGTTTGTCACAGACCCCCAGTGCCCTGAAGGCACCGAGCACACAGTAGCTTCTCTCCCCGTTTACTGAAAGGCGAGGGACAGCGACAGCCCATCACACACCGTACCTGATGCGAGAGGCCGCTCTGCAGCACGCTGTTCCTGGCGATCTCGCACAGGTCGCACGTGCTCAGCTTCCACACTTGCGCAGCGATGGCGTATTCCTCCATGAGCGCTTCCTAGATCCCGCCCCAGAGGACACGGGTGAGACGGCAGCGTCCATGGCAACACTGCATGTGTTTCCAAAACTAAAACCAACGGGCACTGCAGATTTCATCTTTCCTTACCAACTGGAGCCTCAATCATCTAACAAGATCACACTTTATATTCCAAACTCCGTGTGTGTGTGTGTGTGTGTGTGTGTGTGTGTGTGTAAAACTGTGTAACTGCAGGTCACCAAACAAAATTAAAAGAACACCTCTGCGTTTGTTTGTTGAGCAGGACTGAGCCTATCATGTTCAAAACCCAGTGCTGGTTACCGGAGAGATCCCAGGCTTTGCTCTCCTGTGACTGTCTCTGTGAAAGGAAAGTTTCCTAGACTAGTTTAATAGTTTATTAAGGGGAAAAAGAATGACTCCTGAAGAGAGTAGCTCCTCTACCAAGAGCAGACTCTGAGAAGTCCAATCAACACTGTGTTAGAGAAAATCAAAAGCAAGCCACAGACAACAACTTCATTTGTTACAGCTTAGTCAACTGGTTACAGTTGAACTGGTTCATTGTTTACAGCTTACTTAGTTCCTTGGTTCCAGGGTCCCCTGTAAGCAACCAGAGCGCAGTTACTCTGACTGAAATTCATGTTGGTTTGTCTGCTGGGC